CGCAGAACCCACAAAGACATTTTTGAGGTTGGAATACAGTGAGCTTAAGGATTGATGTTGATTTATTTTCATTAATAATCTTAATTTCCTAAAGTTTCGACAGTGAAACCAATCCCAACCGTGTTCGGTTCCATTTCTTCTCTGTGATCTCAGTGTAAAAGCTTTGAGGTGTATAGTGAATGATTCAACAGTACAGTAACTGATCAAGGAGTGACACAGTCGGACAGCACTTGCCTCCCTATTTTATTATGAAAATACATTTTCATTTATTATTACAACAAATTTTGTTTACTTTCAACTGCAGAATGATTTTGATATTTCCAAACAAAAATTCTCACCGTCACTTTTGAACAGCTATGGGCAGCATCGTCTACGATGCCCTCCTGCAAAACAGTTGTGACTGTACACGCACAATACAACATGGATAATTATTTTGCTTTTACTTGTACAATTTGCTCGAAATAATTTGTCTATACTTAACAGTCGGCTGGATTTTTGGCTTGTTTTCTACAAACAACTCCAGAAAACGGCACGGTAGACACGATGTTGAGTCTATGCGAGTGCGGGTCTGCGCTCTGGCTGGACATATAATTGACCGGGGGACTGGGGTGGGGGCTGGAGAGCGTATGGCTATTGCCAAGTGTCCCAACAATTTTGTCCAGGATGGTAGCTATCAATGCCGTATGCACACTGTGCTTGTATATACCTGCACGAAGATTCTCTTCATGTTCAGCAGCAGGCTCTCCATGATGGCCCCAAAGTAGCTCTGCAGGTCGGTGATCTCTTGTCGTTTGTAGCCTCGGAAATTCTCCATGATCTCTAAGCCTTGCTTCTCGGCAAACGACACCAGTTCCCGGAAGGTTATCTGAGGAAAAAAGAGGGCAGAAAACGAAGCTCAAAGTGTCCACAAAACCCGAATGAAATCTGTTCCGTTCTAAGCCTCTCCATGCACATATTGGTCATTCGAAGTATGGTCAATGATTTTTAACACAGCCCAAACATCACACTTCACTCGGACGAAGCAAATACGCTATATAGATTTTGACAATTTACTCGTATACAATCCATTTTGTACAGACGAAAATAAAGAAAAATCCGTTAAAAAATACTATAAACACTGAAAAATACTGGAAATATTTCAACAGAAATTCTACAAATATAAATTAGTCATTCTGCTTTATGTTGGAACGAATTCTGAAAAGTAGCTATAGGTAATTAAGCCAGATCATTAATGGAATTTAAGTTACACGCATGTATTAGTCGAACTGACTTACATGCATTTCAATCATGCTTAAATTCAACAGTCTCCGGTTCCCATCTGCTTTGCATTTGGTCATTCAAAACGACAACCAATCACNCGCCACATTTTTTTTTTCATTTCCCTGGGCGTAGAACCCACAAAGAAATTTTTGAGGTTGGAATACAGTGAGCTTAAGGATTGATGCTGATTTATTTTCATTTATAATCTTAATTTCCTAAAGTTTCGACAGTGAAACCGATCCCAACCGTGTTCAGTTCCATTTCTTCTCAGTATAAAAGCTTTGAGGTGTATAGTGAATGATTCAACAGTACAGTAACTGATCCAGGAGTGACACAGTCGGACAGCACTTGGCTCCCTGTTTTATTATGAAAATACATTTTCATTTATTATTACAACAAATTTTGTTTACTTTCAACTGCAGAACGATTTTGATATTTTCCAACAAAAATTCTCACCGTCACTTTTGAACAGCTATGGGCAGCATCGTCTACGATGCCCTCCTGCAAAACAGTTGTGACTGTACACGCACAATACAACATGGATAATTATTTTCCTTTTACTTGTACCATTTGCTCGAAATAATTTGTCTATACTTAACAGTCGGCTGGATTTTTGGCTTCTTTTCTACAAACAACGCCAGAAAACGGCACGGTAGACACAATGTTGAGTCTATGCGAGTGCGGGTCTGCGCTCTGGCTGGACATATCATTGACCGGGGGACTGGGGTGGGGGCTGGAGAGCGTATGGCTACAGCCAAGTGTCCCAACAATTTTGTCCAGGATGGTAGCTATCAATGCCGTATGCACACTGTGTTTGTATATACCTGCACGAAGATTCTCTTCATGTTCAGCAGCAGGCTCTCCATGATGGCCCCAAAGTAGCTCTGCAGGTCGGTGATCTCTTGTCGTTTGTAGCCTCGGAAATTCTCCATGATCTCTAAGCCTTGCTTCTCGGCAAACGACACCAGTTCCCGGAAGGTTATCTGAGGAAAAAAGAGGGCAGATAACGAAGCTCAAAGTGTCCACAAAACCCGAATGAAATCTGTTCCGTTCTGTGCACCCTAAGCCTCTCCATGCACGTATTGGTCATTCGAAGTATGGCCAATGATTTTAACACAGCCCAAACATCACACTTCACTCGGACGAAGCAAATACGCTATACAGATGTTGACAATTTACTCGTATACAATCCATTTTGTACAGACGAAAATAAAGAAAAATCCGTTAAAAAATACTATAACCACTGAAAAATAATGGAAATATTTCAACAGAAATTCTACAAATATAAATTAGTCATTCTGCTTTATGTTGAAATGACTTCTGAAAAGTAGCTATAGGTAATTAAGCCCGATCAATTAATGGAATTTAAGTTACACGCATGTATTAGTCGAACTGGCTTACATGCATTTCAATCATGCTTAAATTCAACAGTCTCTGGTTGCCATCTGCTTTGCATTTGGTCATTCAAAACGACAACCAATCAAATTAGTCACACGACTAAGGCTTTGTAACTAAAGTCTTAAAAAAACTAAAGAAGGAAGCAATAAAGCCTGTCAATGTTTTTAAAAATTTAGTACAATTTCATGGCGATTAATTATCATGGTAAAATCACAAAAAATCATTTGAAATAGGGTAAGTAAAAAAAATGCAATTTTGTCATTTGACTTTCACCATACAAGCAAACTTCAACCCTGACAAAATGCAGTTTTCACAGAAAGTTTGGCCTGAAAAATATTGAGCTCAAAGAACATTGGCTATGGTTTATACTGTAGATTAATGCAATCTCAAGAAAAATTGTGCCGAACCGGAAAAATCTTTGACATCCTTGTGATGATGCTCCTCAGTCTGATGGTAGCTGACATTTCGCTAAATGTATACACACACGGTGTTTGTTGGGGGTCTGTCACAGGGTGTTTGTGTGTGTGTGTGATGCGTCTAGTGCAGCAGTGTAGTTGTAGCTAGCATTGCACCCCCACGCTTTTTGGGTGGGATTGCCTCACAAAATGCCAAGGTCGACAATGAGATCAAAGCTTGCTTCAGCAAAGCTGGTGCCTCCAACGGACGACTTCAACAACGCCTGTGGTCCAAGCGCGGTATTAGACTCACCAAGAGCAAAGTCTCCATTCTAATTTACGGCTGCAAGTCTTGGACAACGTATAGACCCCACCTGAGGAAGATCGAATAATTTCACATGTGCTGCCTAGGGAAAATGTGTGGTGTTACCTGGCAAGATGGGATTTCCAACATCGAGATCCTCAGGAGATGCAACATCAAAGGCGCCAAGTTCTTCATCAAACGCACACAATTACGCTGAGCCGGCCACGTCGTGTGCATCGGCGATGAACGCATCCTAAAGGCGCTCTTCTCCGGTGAGCTGTGTAAAGGACGACGATCCCAAGGAGGACAGCACAAACGTTACAGAGAACTCCTGAAGTCAACCCTCAAGTCGTGCAGGATTAATCCGGAGAAGTGGGAGTCAGAGGCCAAGAACCGGCCTCACTGGCGTCAGATCTGCCATGAAGGCCTCACACACTTCGAGATCAACAGGACAGTCCACCTGGAGGCGCAGCGTGAGGCATGACAAGCTACCGCCCATCGTCGGCCCATCGTCGGCATCATCAGGGTCAAAAACTCAACATGTCTGCTTGAACTGTGCCAATAATCGCGCTTCGGACATGGGATTGGTCAGTCATTGTAGACACAAACACCCACCTACGTAGCAGCAGTAGAAAGAACAGAGAATCGTCGAGAACGACAACTCCGTCCACCATACGCACACAAAAAAATAAAGCAAAGGAAACGAATGAATGTGTTGAAACATCCTGAGAAAGGACAATGGACATACAAGATATAGACGACGAAAACATGGGCGAAAGAGGGCGTCTTGTGGGCGTATTGTGCTTGTCTGTTGGTGACACTGGTTGAATTGTTCCCGCTCCCATACAATGTCATGCGTTTCGAGGGCCACGAATACATAACCATACCCCAGTTCAGTTTCACAATCCTCAGAAACATTTGAAATGAAATAAGTGTTTACAAAGTAACTGACAGACAAGTATATGATTACTCCTAGCAAACGAGACAGTGACATAGATCCCCCATGTTCAGTTTACAGGTCACGTGGTGAGCGCACATTAATGTACGCCGGTGGTGCAGCTGTAAAACGGTTGGTGAAACTTCCAGTAGGAGAAATTCGGAACACAAACTTCAAATGCACAGAGGGAGTTCATAGAGAGTCACAAATTTTTATAGCATTAAATAACGTTTGTTACTTGGAAATGTTCAAAGGAAACTGACCTACGTTACTGTTTACGTCTGACGGTGGCTCTGTGACGCGTGACGATCGATATCGTGAAATTAAAAATCAGTGGCGGACGAAGCAAGTTCGCTCTGTACAAGCGTACGGCGAGTCAATTTTAAATGCGCCCGAGTACAAGTGTCTTTCGGCAAGTCACTTGACAAAGCACATTAGTTGTCCGAGTTCAGAAGAAATTTATTTTAAGGTACAAAAAATATTTACTAGACCCCAAAACCTGAAAAAAATATGTTTGGACATAGTGTTTTATATGCCAAAGGACGTTGGAAATATTTTTCAATATTATTATAACACTTCTTTTTTAAAAAAATGGAAATGACCGAGCTTGGTCGATGCATCCTGATTTTGACCCAATAAACATTGGTCAGTATGACGAACAGAAAAGTCCAAGACGTACACAATTATCAAATTTGTCAGGTATGTTTGACGAAGCCACAGTAGTCATATTTACTAGTTTATAACTTAAGTTGAAGGAGAATTAACCTAAGCGTATAGCATTTCTGACATGCATGGTGCGAAAATGTGATTTATTATCGCATTTGACGAAACTTTAAAAGAACATCTTTTCATACCTCGCCATCTGCGTGGGTGTCCATCCGTTTGAATAGTGCCTTGGTGTCCCTGAAGTCGTCTCCAAATAAAAGTTTTTTGTCTTCATCCGAGAAGTCTGAGCTTGTCTGAGTAGCAATGAATATTGAACATTACAGAACTGCATTCTCATTTGGCAACCCTTGAAAACAGAGTATATCACCACACAGGTAAATAGAACCTCAAACTACCTTGCAGCAAAATATTGCATTAATCCTGAATATTTACACTTTAGGCTTTCCTCGTCCTGCGCCAAAGTTGCATGGTTTGAAAAGTATGGTGGGCCGTCTGTACTAAAAACGGACTGATTCACGAAGTGTTATTAAGAATCTAACGCAGCTATTAATAACTTAACGAATCAATCATATTCCCTAAGCATCGATACCTCTTCCTCAACACCAATAAAGCAAACTGTGCATTTGTGTGGCAACGGCGTTGCCAACATAAACCGAAGGTAAATTTTGGCATTATAACAACTATGGTAATATAAATAAAAATTACCGCTAACAGGTCATTAGGGAGACATTCCCATAGGAACGTGCACAAAATATTAAACTTTACTGTCCCATAATTCAATATTCCCTAGTCTGATCTGAACCAATTTCTGTATCTTTTCAATTTTGACCCTAATCTATCATCTCTCAAAATCTGGAAAGTAATATTGGGCCTCCTTCTGGTAGTTTGAAAATAAGGAGATACTGAAGTGTTTCCTTAAAAGCCAAAGTCTCCCAAATGACCTATTTGTAAATATAGTACAGAGAATAAAAGCTGGACATCCCGTAAGGGTTATTATTTTGTACACCAGCGACAAAGCTCTGCATTGTCCACGCGTCTACGTGCGCGGAACAACCGCACATTAAAAACATCTGACGGTCTTGACCCCCCCCCTGAAAAATTCCCGGATCCGCCCGTGTTGTCAGCCAAGAGGAATTGAGCGGTAGTATAAACTGTAAATCATCTTTTTAAATCATCACTCTTTACGTTTGTGACATCTTAATAATTTCGTGGAAACACGACAGTATGGGTAACGGGTGACTGCCAATCGATCCTCAACACACCCGTGTTCCTCACCTGGTTCATGGCTTTCTCGAATTCTTGCTCACTGATGGTACCGCTTTCGTCAATGTCGTTCTCTTCGAGTACCTTCATTAGATTAAAAAACGTCGTCACTAGCAACCTGTGCTCCTTAGCTTTGATGGCTTGCTCCTTCATAACTTCTGCCCGCTTCCTGTTGTCAAAAGATAACTTGTGTTGTGCATATCACTTTGTTTACTGATCCATATAGTTAAATGTGATGTGGTTTTCAAAAATCCTCCACGTGTCGCCTCACCAAAGTTGGAGATAATGGAAAACAATAGTCCTTAACATGGGGGGAATTGACTTTTTACGGCCATTTTTTCATTAATATCTCAACTGTCATTGTTAACATATTCTATACAATATACAATGTAGACATTTTCAGTCTTCCCTTTATTTGTGCGCAAACTCAATAAACTGTTGGCAATTTAATGATTGATTGTGACAACGTAACTCCAGTTACAGACATCCTAGAATTGGGAATAAATCTCTTTTGACAACAGCACGGGATCATCATAAATTATATGATATGCATAACACAAAGGCTGGCAAATTCAAAAATGTAACTGGTTTTCCATAAATTACATGCATAAGGCCTATACTGAAAATTTAAGAAATCGAGGTTTGATTTTGTTCCGTAATGTTTTTTCCATTTGGCTGCATTCCATCAAATTGTCCGATTCAAACGACAATTTTTCCCTACTTTTGCTGAAAATATATCATCTAAACACATCAAAAAGGGCACTAGAAAGGAAAGTTTGCATTCACCTCCAAGTTCGAAAAGAGACCACAATCGAGTTAGGCACGTGGTGAAAAAAAAAATCCACTTCGTGCACCACACTAACATTTCAAATTCTTATAACAGCAATTCAGTACTTTCGGCTTGGATTTAAACCTGTATTAATTACTGTATAAACGAGAGCTGACAAAGCCTCTTAATTTATTCGACTTGTGGGAAGAGCGCAATAAGAGGGATACCCTTTCCAAAACTGCAATGCATTATTGATTTTTTCGAGAATAATATCCCAGTAATTGGGAGTGACCCCTCACTCTATTGTACTGAAAAACTGTACACGTATTTTAAAAGCTTTACTTAGCGAGTTTTGTGGGCGGATATTCTTGCTTTTCCGACGGCTTGATGAACTTGTCGAAGCGATCCATCAGCTCCTGCTTCATTACCTCTCTCTCGTTCCCAGCATACTGATTAAGACGAAACAGAAAACACACAATCTGATTAGAAAATGGCCATGAAATGTACCCCCATCCTACAGGTCGGTCCCAAGTTTTCCGAATACCTAACCCTGTTACACGACA